CGCTGTGATCTGGCTGCAGCTGCACCTGGCCGAGTCGAAGCTGACGTGCCTCATCGTCTCGCACGACCAGCACTTCCTCAACTGCGTCGCCACCGACATCCTGCTGCTCGACAGCAGAGAGCTTCACGCGTTCGACGACACCGACTACGACGGCTTCAAGAAGAAGCACGCCTCCTTCGTCGCGCAGCGACGCAAGAAGGCCGAGGCGGCGCAAAAGGAGGCCAGCCGGCTGCAACGCGAGCTGTCCAAGGGTGGCGGCGCGGGGGCGACAAAGTCGGGCCGCCGCGTGGCCAAGGAGCGGCTCGAGGAGATCAAGGTTGTGAAGTCTAGATGTGGTGCTCCCTCTCCTCCCTCCCTCCCCTCTCGCTCCCTCTCCTCCCACCCCTCCCTCCCCTCCCTCCCCCCCTTCTCCCCCCAAACCAAAATTGGTCTGCCTCCGGATCAAGGCGACCGCGCCGGCCTCGACGCGAGAGTATGCGGTCAAGTTTGCGATCGAGGCTGCGGCGAGGAAGCTCAACCCGCCGCTCATCACGATGGAAGCCGTGACGTTTGGGTACGGCCCGCGCCTCCTCTTCCGCGGGCTCGGCTTCGACCTCTCAGTGGACTCGCGCGTCGCGCTGGTGGGGCCAAACGGCTGCGGCAAGTCCACCTTTCTCCAGCTGCTGGAGGGCTCCCTCACGCCCGACGAGGGCGTCGTCGAGCAGGCAAACGGGCGACTGCGCATCGGCCGCTACTCGCAGCACTGGGTCAACCAGCTGCCGGGCGGCGTCTCGCCGGTCGAGCACCTCTTCTCGCTGCTCGGGGAGAGGCCGGAGCGAGGCTCGCCCCTCTACCAGCAAGTGCGGCAGGAGCTCGGCGAGAAGGGGCTGCCCTCCTCGGCCCACGACCTCAAGATCAAGGACCTGTCGGGCGGCCAAAAGGCGCGCGTCGCCTTCGCAGCAATCTCGACGGTGCGGCCGCACGCGCCGCAGCGGCTGCTACGGATCAGAATGGAGGGTGGTGAGCCAGGAGGACAATGCTAGGTGCGGCCGCACGTGCTCCTGCTCGACGAGCCGACCAACCACCTCGACATCGAGTCGGTCGACGCGCTGGTCGACGGGATCAACGGCTTTGAGGGCGGCGTCGTGGTCATCTCGCACGACCGGCGGCCGCTGCGGACGACCCTCGGTCCCGCCGCCGTTCTGCTTAGTCCGGAGTGTGGGGCTCCCGTCGCTATAGGCGGCTGCTGCAGACGACCAACTGCGCCCTCTGGTACTGCGACCGCGCCAAGCAGTCCATCTACCCGCTCGGCTGCGAGTTCGACGCGTACGAGGCCGCTCGCCGAGATGTTCCGAGATTCGCCGAGATTGACCGAGAGTGGCCGGCGCGTGTGAGCACGCGTCCTCGTCGCGGTGGCGGGAACTCGCCGAGATTTGTGCTTGAAACCACCCCAGAGGTGGGCGCCGGCCCGCGACGCGGTTTCTCTCTTCTTGTAGGCGCGCGTCCTCAAGGAGATCGCCGCGAGGCACGCGGCGGACGAGGAGCGGGCGCAGGCGCGCGCGATGCTGCGCAAGAAGAGGCGCGACGAGGCTCGGCGGCGTGCCGACGCCGCCGCCAAGAAGAAGGCGGCGCGCGCGACGTGACGAGCAGGAGCGCGCGGCACCGGCGGGAGCGCGTGGCACCGGCCGGCGACGTACGAGCTGGTCCCTCCTAGCACCTGATTCCTGATACAAGGTGGTATACGCTCGGCGTACCTTTTAATTTCATGGGGGGGGGGGGGGGGACAGGCGGCCCAAGGGGCAAAAGGGCGGAGGGATGGGCCAATCCGCAAAAAACACCCGGGGAGTCACACGACGCGCTCGGTTTCTCCACACACACCGACACCAGGTGGTGGGGCGGCAAGGGGGGGGGGCAACCCTCGCGTCTCCCCTTTTGGGGAAGAAAGGAGCCCAACCCCCCGCGCCACGGGATTTACTCCCTTGGTTTTTTTCCCTCCAATCCCGCGGACCGGAGGGCTTCAAAACCTTCCCACTCCAAGGGGGGCTGCCCGGCATTTAAAATGCCCCCCGGTGTGTGTGTTGTGTGTGTGTGTGTGTGTGTGTGGGTGTGTGTACCCCGGGGGTGTTTGTGTCTGTGTTTGTTTTTTTGTGTCTTGTGGGCGTGTTTTTGTTAAAAAAACACCCCCCCCCCTTTTGGGGTTTTTTAACCCCCGGGGCCCGCCCCCCC